GCTGACCAACATCCCACCCCTCCTGTGATCCATGGTTTGACTAGGCCTATGTGTATTCAGAGCCAGTGAGCAACGGACTTTCAAAATAAGAATAAAAAAAAAACTGCGTTAACGTGCGATAAAAAAATTGTCGGCATTATTTAATAAATGCGTTAACGCGATAATAACGCGTTAACTTGCCCAGCCCTAATTAAAACGTTAAAATTTGAAATTTCATATTGAATATTGATTTAAAAAAACTATCTCATAGCTTTATTTATGCAATTGTAAATGGAGTGTAAATATATTAATGCCACTTCTGATGCCTCTTCTGTGTCACCTCTGCACTGCAAAGATTGATTTTGATTGAATGATTTAATTTGACTGGCAACAACAACAGTATACTGTATAATTATTGTAGAATTAATTATTATTGTATAAATCAGTATTATGCTGCGTTCCAGGCAGGTTTTTGAGCACGTAAATCATGACTTCAAACCACGACTCACGACTTTGTAGTGTTCCAGGCCAGTCTCGCCAAACTACCTGAGCGCAAGGAATTGTGGTAGCTAGATGTAAACAAACAACATTTTTGTTTTGTATGGTTTCGCGGGCTATGTGACGTCAGAGCTCGTAACTAGGAGTACATCGATCTAGTACGAGTTCACGGGTGGGAAGTCATGGGTTTGACTGCCGTTCCAGTGCACTTTCACGGGTATAAGGTTGGAAAAACACGGGTTACAGGTTGCCTGGAACGCGGCATTACTGTATAATTTGAATGCTAGTATTTGACATCAAAGGTGATGGGTGAAATTTTTTATATTTTATAGGTGAAAATGCCCCTGGAAATCAATTTAAGGTTGCAAATATTGCCCTTTAATAAAAATATTAATTTCTGTCACTGCTGTGAACTGACCACTGCATAGAATATGAAAATATGAATATATCCGTGAGTCAGCTGTCAACAACAGGCCTAAACCAGCCATGCACAACCACAAAAACACAATCAGTAAAATATCATCTAATTATCAACAAAACGTTGAAAATATCAAGATATATTTTTGTCAATATTGCACACACCTAATGTACGGTATTAATTTTGATTTCTTCAGGTCTTAAAAAGGTCTTAAAAAGCCTTAAATTTGACTTTAAAAATTGTGCAGGAACCCTGCTCTGATATTATAACCCTGATTAAGAATTAAACTTGTGCATTGACTTGGAAGTATGCAGACATCTTTTTGTTGGGTGCGTTTTCCATGGTGAATCGTAATAGCGTAATCATGGCTTTTCATAGTCGTAGTGCACGCACTTAAAGGGATACTCCACCCAAAAATGAACATTCTGTCATCATTTACTCACCCTCAAGTTGTTGCAAAGTTTCTTTCTTCTGATGAACACAAAGCAAGATATTTTGAAGAACAATTGGAACTTTGGCACCATTGACTTCCATAGTATTTTTTTTTTTCTACTATGCAAGTCAATGGTGCCAAACAACTGTTTGGTTCCAATCGTTCTTCAAAATATCTTCCTTTGTGTTCAGCAGAAGAAAGAAACTCATACAGGTTTGCAACAACTTGAGGGTTAGTAAATGATGACAGAATTTTCATTTTTGGGTGGAGTATCCCTTTAACTCAGTCAACCAACTCTGTTGATTGAACTAACTCAATTCAGCTGTTTGCCAAACAAGTGAAAAATTCACAAATTAATATTACGTTTTGTCTCTTGGAAATGTGCATTGGACCGTAGCTTGAGATGGGAATGCAGATGTGCAACATCTGTAAAAATTGTAACAAACTGATTTTTTTAGGGTAATATTTTATAGGGTGAAATGTGGTCTTCCATAGTATTTAGATCATGTACCACAGGTAAAACCACGCATAGCACTTCACTACCATGGTAAAAAAATATATATATATATATGTTGCTGTTTCTATGGTATTTGTTATGAAAAACAGTGGCCTAAAGACATTTAGTATAATATAAATGCACAAAAACTGCTATAGATTAAAGGGGTCCTATTATGCCCTTTTTTGAAGTCTTGATTTAGTTTTTTTTGGGGTGTACTTGAATACGCTTTCATGCTTGTTTTTTTTGGGGTGTACTTGAATACGCTTTCATGCTTGATTGTTCTAAAAACACATTTTAAAATTAAAAACACAATTTTTCACACATTTTACATTATTACAGTACCTCCCTCCCCAGTCTGGCTTGAATGCGTCATGTAGTTCCTGTTTCGATGAAGTCCCTCCTTCTGAAATACGAAATGTGCTGTGATAGGTTAGCTGGCCCAGTGTTGTGATTGGCACCGCATTGAGTCCTTGTTCGTGGCTTATTGTGATTTTACGTCAATGACTTTAAGTAAATTGAAGTAGTACTGCGAAGTTAAAGAAGTGTAACACTTTAGATTTTTTTTTATTTGTGAATCGATGCAAATCAGTTGAAGATAGAATCGCGATTCATATATGAATCTTTTTTTTCCTGCACCCCTACTATATTACGTTTGGTTTTTAAACCATTACTACGTAAACAAGGTTTTGTACTTCATTCGTGTCCTAATATCCACTTAAAACAGCAACCTTCACATGATGTTCCAAAATGTGTTTGTCACAGTCTATGGTCATACCACTGCCTCGATGTGGTTGTCATGCTGACTGGCAGAGCCCCTACTGTTTAAATTGAGCTGTTGAACAGGCTGTGATGTCAAGATAGCAATGCTAGAAATTATGTATTTATGCGCATGTATATTTATACGTGCTTCACTTGCTTCCTGTATAATTGTGTGCGCTTCACGTGCTTGCCGTATAATCTCCAAAGAGTCTTTCACTGTTGTGCCAGTTCAACAGACTTAATCCTTCTATTATGCCTCTGATAGCAATGTGTGAAGCCATACACACCCAGTATTCAGGCCATAGACTACGCCACGCATGATCTAGTATTCCACAGATCTGTCCAGCATTTGTAAAGACTGGGCTTAAGATTGGTGGTGTTTTTATTGGGCAGTGATAGGGAGAGCCTAAGCAAACAAAACCAAGTTAACCGTAGTCACTAGACTATTGACAAGCTAAGTTTGGATTGATGATCTTTTGGATGATGACACTCGGAGTGATTTGCACCTGAGAGGCCCCGTGGTGAGGAGCAGAGAGTTCGCTCAGAGTGTTGCGCTAATCACTCCTATAGATCTCAGTATGTATACGGTTAAAAGATTACTCTGTCTCATATGACCTTGTTATTTGTACACACCGTGACTATACAAATCCCAACATATAAATAGGAAAATGTTGGTGTTATTTTGTCACTTCTTGGGAGCAGTATGCTAGCTGGAGCTATTTACTTCCAGTCTTTGTGCTAAGCTAGGCTAGTGGTGGGTGCATCAGACAGAGTTACAGCACGCACGGAGATGAAAAGGTGGACTTATGGACTTATCTAACTCTGGGGGATACGGTGAATAAGCTAAAGTCCCAAAAAGTTGGCATGTTCCTTTAAGCTTATAGTCGTCTTTATAGTCTTCCTGGAGATTACCATAATTTTCTTAAGTTGCGTGCTGAGATTTTAGTTGTGATTTGATGGTTTGATTTTGCACATGTAAACCATGTCTGACTTTACTGTTGTGACAGACAGCTTCAACTATAAAATTGAGAATATACCTTGTGTTACAGATTAGGGATGCACGATATAGGAATTTGGCCGATATTCGATATGCCGATATTTTCAAACTAATTTTGCCCGATGCCGATACCGATACCGATATATTTGTATTTTTTTTTAAGTGCAAAAAAAGCTTATTAAAGCTTCTATTAATGTTCTCAGTCAAGAGCAGTGTGTGATTTCCTCTGTGTTTTGTTGTTTTATTAACATTAACGGGATAGTTCTCCCAAAAATTTAAATTGTCATCATTTACTCAAGTTTCTTTCTTCTGTTGAAATTATAAAAGTTATTTGGAAGAATGTGGCTAACCAAACAGTTGCTGTACTTTAGTGACTTCCATAGTATATTTAAGCACAAGAAAGAAATGAATCCAGGTTTGAAACAACATTAGATAGACAGAATTTTTATTTCTGGGTGCAGTATCTCTTTAAAGACAAGCGGCAGAATATTATTACTGTCTCTTTAAGAACTGCACGCGAGGGACGCGACGCGTCTAATATACACGCATTTGACACGCAGATTTTCTCTGTTTGCTTTCACTTTAGACATAACCAACTTTATGTAAACCTTGTGTGTATTTGACAGTATCAGCGCAATAAGACTCGAAAGATAAGTTAGTCCAGTATGCAGGCGCTGTGACAGGCTTTAGTTCCTGTGAGCGTCGGGTGTACGCGCTCAGAAAAGCGGATGTTAGAACAGCGCATCAGCACGTGAATGACATGTTTACCTAGCAAGACTTTGACGCACATGCAAACAATGAACTTTTGTGAATTGCGGTGTCCTGTGAGTGTAACTGTACCTCTGCGTTTACATGTGATGTGATGTGAATGTACGTCGCGTTGTACAGTATGTTGAGATGAAGGCGCCAGAATTGAACTGATAAAATGCACGATACTATGATTTTTCTTCAAAAGCAGATCGTGGAGACATTTTAATCGTCCATGATCAAAAACCGTGAGACGCACACTCCTAGTTGGAAGTTTAAGTTGCTGGCGCTCATGCTTTGTTCACGGTCGTCACATGCGCATAGGAAACACGCCACCCTATCGGCAAGACTCATCGGCAGAAATATTCATATCTGCCGATGATGGTCATTTTAGCTTTTATCGGCCGATACCGATGTTGTCCCGATATCATCGTGCATCCCTATTACAGATATTGCACTAGTAGTTCACTGGTGGGTTCATTACAATAGTGATGTACCTTTTGGCATTCTTCATCTTCGCCGGTCTAATAAGCAGACTAAAAATGTCACAAAACTACAATATTTTCATAAATGTTGCATGACTGTTTAGTGTCTTTGGCCGAATGATAGATCCACATAATTGCCATTGTGTATCTTGATTTATTTTTTCACTCCTTCTCTCCGACTATAGGTGCCGATGATCCTGGTGGGTAATAAGTGTGATCTGGAGGACGAGAGGGTGGTGGGGAAAGAACAGGGGCAAAATCTGGCCCGGCAGTGGAACAACTGTGCCTTTCTAGAGTCCTCTGCCAAATCAAAGATTAACGTCCTTGATGTGAGCATGTTTCTTGCTTGATATGTCCCCCATTCAGAACATATTCCAGTAGTTTCATGTTCATATTGAGTACTTCATGAATGTATTTTTTGCACATTGCAGATCTTCTATGACTTGGTCAGACAAATTAACAGGAAAACACCGGTGGAAAAGAAGAAAGCAAAAAAGAAATCCAATTGTGTCGTCCTGTAGAGCCAGCAGCAGCTCTGAGCCAGGTCTGTCATGTCACTTACGTCATTCATTTATGAATGTATAACCCCATTTCTAGAAAAGTTTGCACATTTTGTAAAATGCATTAATCACGAATCTGTGGTTTGTTAATTCTCTTGAACCTTTATTTAACCCTCTGGGGACCAAGGTGTTTTTGGGGTCCTTGAGATGTTTTGACATGCCCTGACATTTGTGCTTTTTTCAGTTGCTTATAAACATATTAATGGCACAGGTGAAATTACACTCTATTTAGCACAAACAGGGCTACCATAATATGTGAGCAACATGTATGTACATGTTTGTATTTTTGAGAGAATATTGTTTATGCATGGTTATTGAGAAAACTAAAAATTAAAGTTTCTGAAATAAAGCCACAAAACACATACTAAATATGTGTCCACAAGACTTTTGACTAATGGAAGTTGTGGCCTAGAGTTTTTGCTTCAAAATGATCTGAAAATCATCCTGTCTAATCATTCACATAAAACAATAGATTCTTTTAAATTGTGAAAAACATTTTTTGTTAGCCAAGGCAATATGCGAATGGGCGTGAACGGCCCAACCCCATTGTGAATAATTAGGTGGTTGAGAAGACAAAGACGACCCGCATATTAATGAGCCTTTCATTCAGGTGTGTCACACAAAGAATGCAAGGACAATATACACACACACACACACACACACACATACATGCATACATATACATATACATATACATATATATATATAAAATCAAAATATAAAAAAGTCAAAAGCACATTTTTAGCCATACCTGGAAACAAATCCTGTTCAAATAGGTTATATGGGCCATTCTACAGAATTGGTTCAAAGTTAGAGTTCGAAACATCTTGAAAAGAAAATTGTCTTTTTCCATAAATGTCTTAGTAGGCCAATACATTTTATCATACATATTTCAAAGTTAAGGATTCATTATTTTGATATAGCTTGCATTGGAACAAACACTATTCTTAGTTGATTAGTTTGACAAAACATACTATATATTTAACATATGAGCAGAAACTGCTAACAAAAGCTTATTTGATGTCTATTTTAGAGTTAAAACTTTATAATCTATCCAAAACAAGTCACACACACACAGAAACATGATTCAAATTTAAACAGTAGGCTATTTTTGCGTTTACAGACACTAACGTTATTATATATCGCGATTAGAACAAAGCACAAAAATAAAAACACTTACAGCTCAGCTCACTCCTCGAAGTGAAAATAAACCAGCACTTGTTCTGAGGTAGGTAAATGTCCCAGGATTATTCCTCCCAGCCGCGCAAGACGACAGTACATTAATTGACTAAATATAGTGTGTTTACCGAGTTTATGTGGGCGTTTACACTTCTCAATGTGTTGCTTCAGATCATTAGCGTTTGAATAGCGCGCGCTCTCCGTGGGCATGTCACATTAGCGGAATAATGAGATGCGAGAACGATAATGAGAACGGCTGACACCTCTCTCTTTTTATATAGATTACATAAACAGAGAATATTTATTTTAGTTTTAAATTAGATAATTTAAAAGTACAAACTTAAATGATCATAAACATATATTGCTCATGTCTGGGTGAATAGTATTCGCTGAGTTTTGTTTAAGTTTAGAGACGTGCTCCAGAAAAAAAGTTCATGGACACGGAGAGGCAGAACGCACACCCTGTTTATTTTCTTTATTTTACAAAAGCACAATATTTTATTTTGATTGTAGGTGGGCACATAAAAAAGTAGACATTTAACAGTTTATTTTTTAATATGTCTTAACTCTGTATGACCAGAAATGGAGTAGTTTAAGTGTATTTTTCTGCTATGTGGAAAAAATCTGCCAAAACTGCCGGTGCGTTTGCCGTCCCCAGAGGGTTAACTTACAAAAGTACAAATGAAAGATTTCCAATGTTTTCTCTGACCAAATTAATTGTATTTTTAAACAAATTTTGAGTTTGATGGCTGCAACACTCCCAAAAAGTTGGGACAGAGGCAAAATAAAATTGAAAAGATTATAGAATATCCTAGTTGAACTTTGAAGTTTTGAAACAGTCCACAATGATTAGGTGAATTGGTAATAGGTGATGGTATTGTGATTGGGTATAAAAGGAGCATCTCAGTCTTTGCTAGCAAAGATGGGTCATGGCTCACCACTTTGTGCCAAATATCGTGAGAGAATTGTCAAATTCAAAAATCACATTTTCAATGCAAGATTGTAAAGAATTTGGGTCTTTCAGCATCTACCATACATAATATTGTGGAAAAATTTAGGGAATCCAGAGAAGTCTCATTCTGTGTAGGTAAAGGCCCCTGTTGAATGTGAGAGACCTTTGAGCCAACCATAATGCTACTGTTATATTTCACCCAAAATTTTACATTCTGAATGAATGATGAATTTCTGCCCTGCCAACGCCGCCGTAGAAAGATTCGTGGATGCTCTGACATAGATCGAATGCTTGGTCTTTTTTTAAACTTTATTTAACCCTCTGGGGTGTTTTGAGAATTTTATGATTTATAATTAATATTTATGCAATAATTATGACCCATTTTTTCCCATTAAATATAATAGAATTTTTATATATATATATGTAATTTTTTTTTAACATTTTTATTAAAGCTGTATTTCATTTTAGAGTCAAGCCTAGGCCTCATGAAAGCAATTTTTTAAATGAGATGGATGCCATCTGCTGGATACACTGAGCATTTTTATCACGCAATAGCACATTTTTACCACTAGTGGATTTACAGCTCTCTGTAGAAAGGCTTGCGAATTCTAGTGATTTTTGCACATATTTGCCAATTTATTTTCAGTTTGTTGATTTTAAAATATAATAACAGATTCTCAAAGACTATTTTTGTCTTTTTTTTTTTTTTTTTGGTTGGTTTAAATGGTAATTTGAAGTGCCAGTTTAACTTTATAATACAGATTATTATAAATATATAATACATTGTGTGTCTGTTTTGCACTCTTGATGTTTTAGAGATTCACCCCTTCACTGTTGAGTCCTTTTTTTTCTGCATCCTGGCTGATTTGTAGATTGTATGCACAAAAAAACTCTTGTGTTTTCATATTTTTTACAATTTCCCATTCATTTCCTATGGGGGTCATTTTTGACCAAAGACCAGAAGTGTGACGACCACTTAGCATGCTTGGATCATGACCTCAATATTTTTTGTGTGTTCACATACCGAATACCATAAGTCACCCAGTTTTGTAACATTCCGATGAAGCTGTGGTTTTTAAAAATTCAAAACAGATTTATGTAATCTGAATTTATTAGTGTGTATGTGTATAAAAGTGTGTTTGTGTGTGTGTGTGTGTGGATGTGTCTGTTTTGCAACTCTTGATGTTTTATAGATTCACCCCTTCACTGTTGTGTGCTTTTTTCTGCATCCTGGCTGATTTGTAGATTGTCAAAAATATGAAAACACAAGAGTTTTTTTGTGCATACAATCTACAAATCAGCCAGAATGCAGAAAAAAAGCACAACAGTGAAGGGGTGAATCTATAAAACATCAAGAGTGCAAAACAGACACATCCACACACACACACACAAACACACTTTTATACACATACACACTAATGAATTCAGATTACATAAATCTGTTTTGAATTTTTAAAAATCACAGCTTCATCGGAATGTTACAAAACTAGGTGACTTTTATGGTATTCGGTATGTGAACACACAAAAAATATTGAGGTCATGATCCAAGCATGCTAAGTGGTCGTCACACTTCTGCTCTTTGGTCAAAAATGACCCCCATAGGAAATGAATGGGAATGAAAATGACCCCCATAGGAAATGAATGGGAAATTGTCAAAAATATGAAAACACAAGAGTTTTTTTGTGCATACAATTTCCCATTCATTTCCTATGGGGGTCATTTTTGACCAAAGAGCAGAAGTGTGACGACCACTTAGCATGCTTGGATCATGACCTCAATATTTTGTGTGTGTTCACATACCGAATACCATAAAAGTCACCTAGTTTTGTAACATTCCGATGAAGCTGTGATTTTTAAAAATTCAAAACAGATTTATGTAATCTGAATTTATTAGTGTGTATGTGTATAAAAGTGTGTGTGTGTGTGTGGATGTGTCTGTTTTGCACTCTTGATGTTTTATAGATTCACCCCTTCACTGTTGTGTGCTTTTTTTCTGGATCGTGACTGATTTGTAGATTGTACACACAAAAAAACTCTGTATTGTCACATTTTTGCCAATTTCCCATTCATTTCCTATGCGGGTCCATTTGGACCCGAAGGTCCTGAGTGTGACTCTTTTTTTTTACAGCCACTTAGACTATTCAAATCCTGTCCCCAATTTTTTTGGGTGTTCATATACCAAGTACCAACAAAGTGACCAAATTTCGGACCATTCCGATGAAGCTACGATTTTTTACATTTTTTTATTTAAATGCTTCGGGTCCATTTGGGCCGAAGGACCCCAGAGGGTTAAAGGGGCCGCAGCCGCAAAGCAAACAAGCATGTTGATTGTTATTTTTGCAGACTGACCAAGTATATGTTAACCTCATGGAATCTATTAAATGGAAAAATAAGACATTGATAGATGGAAAGAACTTAATTATAGGGACATGTTTGCAAACGAAATAAACCAATTAAAAGCCATTTATGTGGTGTCTTTTGTGTTCATGGTTAAGTGCTAATCTAATTTGCATTCCCGCTGAAAAACAAGCGTTCTAGCGTGAAAATGTCTGTTGCCTATAAATAGTGTTGCGTGCCTCCTTATGAAATTCACATGATCAACCTCTCCTCTATTTTGCTTGGGAACTAATGTGGTCGGAACCAAAGTTTACTTGACTGCGTTCTCTGGAATCCTCTCAACCGGAGGACTTCTACATTCTGATTGGTTGCCGCCGAACCGCGTCATAGCTCATTACCATAAAGTTGACCTGACTTCAACTCTTCTTGCCGTCCAAGACGCGCCGCCACATTTGAAGAATGTCTGTAACCAAACAGTTGATGGACCCATTGACCATTGACTTCCATAGTATGGGGCTGCCCTCAACTAAAGATTTTTTCTAGTCAACTAGTAGTTGTTTAAAGGTATAGCGGAGGATCTTTCCGAATTTTAGAGAAGACCCACCCTCTCCAATTTTTTTAAATGCACATGCGCAACACTCTATTTGCTCCCGAGAGGGAACGCCTATTAAACTTTTACTAGCAGTGATTTAAAATGGATTTCTCCAAATAGCATCAGTGGGAAGCCCAACCTGTGCTTTTAGCGCATGCCAGTGTGTGAAATATTCACCCAAAATCACTCTGGTCTTGTTTCTATATTCTGCGGCCTTTCTCTTCTTATCATACACTTCGTATACATTTTTTCTCTTTCGACCCTCAGCCATTTTCAAAGGAATGGCTGAAACCGTAACTCATCACAAATAATACACCTGAAAGTACGCATGCGCAGAAAGCGAAAACTACATAGGGACGAGCACGTACGACGGCCTTACGTAAACATATCACCAGAATGATTGACACTTAGGTGGACCAATAGTATAGGCTACCCACCCAGAAAAAGAAAATCCTCCGCTATACCTTTAAGCAAGCCATTAGTCAACTAATCGCACGTTTATGGGCTATTAATAAGCCATAAATCATAATAATGTACCTTTAATTGCCTATATAAAATACATAGCCTAATCAGCGCTCATATGCACACATAAAGCTTGCCACAACTCACCGTCAAATGTAATGATTATGAATGTGTCGTGAAAAAAACGGCGCCTGTATGTCATGCAGTAAAGCGCGCTCTCCACACAAACACTTGAATATGCGCCTAATAATAGCGCACATTTATCTAGGTTAGCATTAAAGCGAGCGGACTTGTAAAGTTGCTACTACCTACATGTTTCAAGTGATACGCCATATTTGAGGTCGATGAATGTCTATCTAACAAATCATCACGGAGCAGAGGATATGCAGTTTGACAAAGCATGAAGTGACCAAACAAAGCTTCGGAAGTCAGTGACATACAAGAGTTGAATCAATATGGGATCAATACAGTTCTATGTAATCTAATCTAAATTTAATTTGTGCCAATGAGACCACAACTCGTGTCATGTAGCCTGGTCAATGGATTCACATATTGATCAATAATATAAAATATACAAGTATGTGCTCTTAATACAGCAGAAAATACAGTCGTTTGCATGTCTTGATCTCCTACTAACAGCTCTCGAAGTGACAGAATAATCATTTGCCTTTTATGCATCAGGTTGGGTCAAGAAGCGCTAATTTTTTCAAGCCATCTGTCCCAAACTTCCGATACTGAATGACGTTCGAAGCTTCAAACATCAATCACGTGGTATTGTCATTTCGAGACAAGCATCGGTACAGTGTGTGATACAATAGTGCTTTGAAAACTGCATCAGAGCCCCAGTATCAACCGTCCCATCACTAGTGACTTGCGTATGTGTGAAGGTGCCATTGATGTGGAGACGTATTGGGATTGTACAGATACTTACACTGCCATCAAGATGACATCTTTCCTTGGAAGCAAGACAATGCCAGTCCTCATTCTGCATGTGCTGCAAACTGAGACAGTCCAGATCTGTCTCCTAGTGAAAATGTATCGGCCCATCATGAAAAGTAGAATCCGATAAAGAAGACCATGGGCTGTTGAGCAGCTGTCTTGTATCAGGCGAGATTGGGCAAAAAACACCCATGCAAAACTGCAACACTTAGTTTTCTTAATTCCCAAACAATCAAAAGAGTGTAATTAAATGTAAAGGTGATGTGACACAGTGGTACACATGCCCCTGTCGCAACTTTTTTTGCCGTGTTGCAGCCATCACAATCTAAATTTGTTTATATTTACACAATACATTTACGGTAAGTTGGTCAGTGAAAACATTGGAAATATTTTCTTTGTACTTTTGTCAGTTAAATAAAGGTTAAAGAGAATTAATTAACCACAAATTCTTGATTTTATTACATTTTACAAAATGTCCCAACTTTTCTGGAAATGGGGTTGTACATCTGTTCGGTCAAAGTCTCTCCCACCTACATTATTTTTCATAGACTGATATATTTGCTCAGGCAACATTCCAGCAAAGTGTACCAGCACTGTAGGGTCTGATGATGTGAATCAATATATTTGCTTGTACAGTTTCTGTAAAAATCTTCAGTAAATTGATTGTTTACCAAACTAACCACTAGAGGGCAGCAGTTGCTCAGTCTTTAGCAGTTAAAATAAAATGTGTTGTCCTTATGAAAGTATAGGATAGAAGAATAGGATTTAATGTGTATTTGTGATTTTCTTTCTCTCTCTACAGAATGCTGTAATGAAGAACTGTTAGCTTGTTTGGATCATGCCAGCATTCCCATCCTCAATGAGTGATTCAATGGAACAGCTGACTGACTGACTCAAAGCAGCACCGGACAGAGCAAGCAAGAAAACCAGTCACAACTCTTTTATTTCCCCTTTATGTTGGCAGAAAAATCTGAGGAAAAACTCTATTTCCCATGAGACATTTCAATAGAACTGAGAACAGCTCAACATTTCCCTGATCTTCCAGACTTTTTACATCACTGCGGCTGATATTAACATTAATAGTGAAAATCAACCACCTTTTCAGTTTCCACACAATGAATCTTAGGACACAATTGCTTGGGATTCTTGATCTATCTTTTTTTCCCCTTTATGTTGAAAATGTTTGCAATATTTTTGCAATATTTAAGATCCTTCATCTTCCTCTAAAAACCCATGGATACATCTGTTCAGAAACTTGACCGAGATAGAGGGAAAAAATCACTGAAATTTTACCACAAACGTGTTTTTAAAACTTTTTTTTCCCATAAACTCTTGAACTCTGTGCTTTTCAATGGCCTCATCTGTTGAAAAAGCCGGACGAGAAATCAGAGTTAACAGTATTCATATGTGCAATACTGCATGTTCAAGGACATGAAGGATGACAATGTTCAATAGCAAGTTATCAGCATGAACATCTTTAAGTGTAGATGTTGTAAATGATGTCTAGTTCAATTGTTTCCTCTCATAAGTTGTACTTCCATTTTTTGGTACAATGTGTAAATGTCTATAGATGACAAACATGTATATAAATATTGTTTTGCTGACAACTATGAACACACTCATCAGAAAGTACTGCCCCATTTCCAATGTGACAATATTTTGTATTGTCACTTGGTTTTCCTAGCTCATATATTTTATTCTAATGCCATTCTGTTTCATAAAGACGGTTTCAGAAGTCAACAGGCATTTTATAGTGTAAAAAGTGGGGGAAGGAACGACCGATTTCTATACCTATCGAGACTGAAATATATTGTACTAAAACTTTTTCCTCCTGTGTTTTTCTGTCAAAAGATGTTCTGGCTTTTAAGATTATTAAATTTTAGTACCTTTTCATTATTTCTGCTGTTTTGAATTTTTATTGGATTATCTGTCATCTTTAACAAGATTATTTTCCCTCTTTTCTGGTATGTTCTTAAAGCGCTATTACCAGATCGACGGAATAGACAGATCGGCTGTGAAGCAAAGCTGCTTTTTTTTCGGTCTGACCAAAAATGTTAAAATCCTCCATCTCACTGTGTTGGTATTCTGATGTCTAACTTTCTTCTTTTTCTGTACATCACATAAAACCCAATTAGACACAAACAATGTGACAGCCAACAACTTAACATGGCAAAAAGCAACCTGAGGCCTTAAATTCCTACTGTATGTCATCAGTAATTGATGGTAATGTGGAAGAAAATGTGAATATAGCTATTCATAAAGAGTTATGGGGATAAGAAATGGAATTTGACTAAACAAATATAAATATTATGGAACACTCTACTCTAAAATGTTTGGTCCATATCGGCATAGTTCTGGTATTTCAATATGATTGGCTGAGCAGTGTTCTTTACAGTTTACAGACTCAGCACTGGGACATTTGCATCAACTTGCTTGTCTTTGTTTGTCCCAGCCAGGCATTAGTGCTGGGGATTTTTTTTTTTTTTTTTTGTGAATTTCTGCAGTTACATAGTTTAAATCAAGTCACCTTTATTTATATAGCGCTTTATATACACTACTGATTGCTTCAAAGCAGCTTTATAGTGATAACAATGATTCAATGATGCAAACAGGTCATTTCGACTGTACAGTGATTAAGAAAGAAAATGGCGTCATTGTTCAGCTGAAGTCAGTTCATTGTTGATTCAGTTTCATTGTAAAGATCATCAGTTATTAAATTAGTTAATTTCATCTGTTGTGCAGAAAAAGTGATATCGTCGTCTCTGCTGAGGTTCTGTGCCGATGGCTGTCTGTCGACAAGGCCTTCACAGTGGATTGTCTACTTGACAGGATCTCTGCTTACATTCAGGGATGCGTTGTGGTCATGTCTAGATGAAGGTCCACCATCTGATCTGGATACGGACCAGAAACGGCTGACTATGGCAACCTCGGGTGTTAGTTTAGATGTTTTTTTGGGTGTTATAGGAAGTGTCCCCAGTTCCGGCTGACCTAATTTATGCAGCCTAATAATCATTTAACGGATGTGAATCATAGAAATATTGCTGTCTCAGCTGACCATGTCAAGTCACCTTTATTTAAGTAGCTCTTTATACAATACAGATTGTGTCAAAGCAGATTTAAAGTAATTATCAATGATGCAAACAAAATTCAATTCAGCTGTAAAGCAGCTCTAAAAATAAGACGGTGTCATTGTTCAGTTGAAGTCAGTTCAGTGTTGATTCATCAATTATGAAATGAGTTCAATTAGTCAATAAAGCAGCTCTGGAGAAAACAATGTACCGTAATCATCCAGCTCAGATAAGTTTTCATCCAATAATGTCAGTGCATTCAAGTCAATAATATTGGCCAGTTCTCCTCTGGCTAGATGAACAAACATGATGTGGTTAAATTCCAGGCTGCATCAAAAGTCAGAATCTGGAGTGAAGATGCATAAAGATTTGGATACGTTACGTCAACATTTGGTGTGAGGGGAGTTGAAGCTGGCTTAAGGGTCTCTGCAGAGGACTTGTCTGGTTCTCGTGTTCTTCGAGAACCAGAATGCTGACCACAACATTCTTTTAAATAGACTCGAAAATTATGTTGGCATTAGTGGAATTGCATTAGCATGGTTTAAATCATACTTATCTGACCGTTATCAGTTTGTAGCAGTAAATGAAGAGATGTCTTATCGATCAAAAGTTCAGTATGGCGTACCACAAGGCTCAGTACTAGGACCGTTACTGTTCACTCTGTACATGCTACCCTTAGGAGATATCATTAGGAAGCATGTCATTAGTTTTCACTGTTATGTTGATGATACTCAGCTCTATATTTCTTCACGCCCTGACGAAACTTGCCAATTTACTAAATTAACGTAATGCATAGCTTATATAAAAAAACTGGATGAATAGTAATTTCTTACTACTTCATTCTGAAAAAACAGATTCTAATTATTGGACAAAAAAACTTACTCACGTAATAACCTAGAATACTGTCTAACACTTGATGGCTGCTCTGTCAAGTCTTCGTCGTCGGTTAGGAACCTGGGTGTGCTCTTTGATACCAACCTTTCATTTGAAAGTCATGTGTCTAGTATCTGTAAAACTGCATTTTTCCATCTTAAGAAATATATCTAAATTACGTCATATGCTCTCAATGACAAATGCGGAACAATTAGTTCATCCGTTCATGACATCAAGGCTAGATTATTGTAATGCTATTATGGGTGGTTGCCCTGCATGCTTAATAAACAAACTATAGATGGTCCAAAACGCAGCAGCTAGAGTTCTTACCAGAACCAGGAAGTAGGACCATATTAGCCAGGTTCTGTCAACACTGCATTGGCTCCCTATTAAACATCGTATACATTTTAAAATATTGCTGATTACTTACAAAGCACTAAATGGTTTAGCTCCCCAGTACTTGAGCGAGCTCTTAACGCTTTATAGTCCTTCACGTCTATTGCAATCTCAAAATTCCGGCCAGTTGATAAAACCTAGAATATCAAAATTGACTGCTGGCGGTAGATCCTTTTCCTATTTAGCACCAAAACTATGGAACAGTCTTCCTAACATTGTCCAGGAAGAAGACACACTCTGTCAGTTCAAATCTAGACTAAAAACACATCTCTTTGACATAGCATACACATAACACATTATAAACTTCTATAATTCAATGTTAGGATGCATAGATTAGGTCAGTGGAACCGGGAACACTTCCCATAAATCCTGATGTACTCGTTACATCATAAAAAGGATGGCGTCCGTCAACGCTAATATTAGTCTCTGTTTATCCCGAGGTTTACCGCAGTCTGCCAGATTCAGGCCGTATCCAGATCTGATGAAGGATCTGCGCCTGGACACGACGACAACGCAGTCCTGAAGTGTCAACTAGTCTCTCCCCTGTGTAGGCCTCCTTCCCTTTACCTCTGTACAGATAAAAAACGCTGTCAAAATAATTCCAATTCACATGGCTATGCGGAAGCGATAAATAATTCTGTATTATAAATTAAGGTCAGGCCAGACAAGTAATTTGTTGAGGTCAATTTGTAAAGAAAGACTACACGTCTGCGCACATATACACTCACCGGCCACTTTATTAGGTACACCTGTCCAACTGCTCGTTAACACTTAATTTCTAAGCAGCCAATCACATGGCGGCAACTCAGTGCATTTAGGCATGTAGACATGGTCAAGACAATCTCCTGCAGTTCAAACCGAGCATCAGTATGGGGAAGAAAGGTGATTTGAGTGACTTTGAACGTGGCATGATTGTTGGTGCCAGAAGGGCTGGTCTGAGTATTTCAGAAACTGCTAATCTACTGGGATTTTCACGCACAACCATCTCTAGGGTTTACAGAGAATGGTCCGAAAAAGAAAAAACATCCAGTGAGCGGCAGTTCTGTGGGCGGAAATGCCTTGTTGATGCCAGAGGTCAGAGGAGAATGGCCAGACTGGTTCGAGCTGATAGAAGGGCAACAGTGACTGAAATAACCACTCGTTACAACCGAGGTATGCAGCAAAGCATTTGTGAAGCCACAACACGCACAACCTTGAGGCGGATGGGCTACAACAGCAGAAGACTCCACCGGGTACCACTCATCTCCACTACAAATAGGAAAAAGAGGCTACAATTTGCAAGAGCTCACCAAAATTGAACAGTTGAAGACTGGAAAAATGTTGCCTGGTCTGATGAGTCTCGATTTCTGTTGAGACATTCAGATGTTAGAGTCAGAATTTGGCGTAAACAGAATGAGAACATGGAACCATCATGCCTTGTTACCACTGTGCAGGCTGGTGGTGGTGGTGTAATGGTGTGGGGGATGTTTTCCTGGCACACTTTAGGCCCCTTAGTGCCAATTGGGCATCGTTTAAATGCCACGGCCTACCTGAGCATTGTTTCTGACCATGTCCATCCCTTTATGGCCACCATGTACCCATCCTCTGATGGCTACTTCCACCATGTCACAAAGCTCTAATCATTTCAAATTGGTTTCTTGAACATGACAATGAGTTCACTGTACTAAAATGGCCTCCACTGTCACCAGATCTCAACCCAATAGAGCATCTTTGGGATGTGGTGGAACGGGAGATTCGCATCATGGATGTGCAGCCGACAAATCTGCGGCAACTGTGTGATGCCATCATGTCAATATGGACCAAACTCCCTGAGGAATGCTTCCAGCA